AGCACCAAAAAAAAAAAATTAGTCTTTTTTATTTTTCATTCATCCAACCAACACAAAGGAAGAAAATTGTATCATTTTTACTTTCCTTCTTTGAATAATAGAAAATGTATCTCTTCTACTTTCCACCCTTCTTATTTTCTATCTTCCTACCAAACGGAGCATGAAGGACAAATCAGTTTTTGTCTTGCCTCTTTTACATAATTTACAACCCTCTAACATGGGTCAAGTTTTAATTTGGACTTAGAAGTTCCAATTAGGATAGTCATACTTTAAAGATTTAATTGAATTCCACTTAAGTCCTTCCATAAAAATTTGTTAACTTAATGTGCTAGGATGGAGTCGCCTAACCAGTACTACTTATTTAGTAGGGTATCTTTGTCCCATCAAAAAATACAATCTCGTCCCATGATTATTGACCCGTATCTTTTTGTGTCTACTAATTAGATTTAAACAACAAAACATGACAAAAAAGTGGAATGCAAGCTACCAAGACAACGGATAACGATTAATAACTAGTCAATTATTCCATTTTTTTTTCAACATAAAAAAACATTTCTAAAAATGTCATGTGTTGGTCACTTGGTTCCATTTTGCCAAAATCAACGTAAGATATTTAGATGGGAAGATTGAATTGAAACTCAATTAAAAGTTATTTATAGCGTTGATTGTTCTAATTAGAAAATTTTGCCTCATGCTTGAAGATTATAAATTATAAATTGACCTTATTTTTTTGAGACACCAGACAAATTTTATTTTTGAAAGGGCAAATGCAAGTATGCACTCTCAATGGGAAAAAATGAAAATGTGATGTAAAATTGCTTAGGGCACCTCTTTTTCAGGAGCGACTATTTAAGATGCCCACACTAGAAAACAAAAATGAGAAGAAAATAAAATGTTATTGAAACAATTTGTCACTATTGCAGTTGAAGATGGCCTAGTGAAACCATAATGAACACGTTGGTTGTAAAAATCTTTTGATAATTTTCAACGAATCTCTCTCATACTTGACATCATCTATTGTTATCCGGAATATACCTAGTGTTCCAGAGGTAAATAGAGAGCTTTAGTATACCTAGTGTGTATGTGGGTTGCAGCCCTCGAAAAGCTTGAGTGGTTTACATTTAATTCTTAGAATTGTACCTCAAGTTTAATTGTCATACTTAGTTCAAACGAGGAATTCTGTTAATGCGCTTGGCAGTGGAAGTGTTGACATCTTTGAATCTTCTGCATTCGGTGATATGCTATGAATTTGCAAACGTTTTTAGCTGATGTTGCTGAGCTATTTATTGGATGGTTTGGGCTTAGCCTGTTCAATACCGGCTTGCATTGAATCCATGTTCAAGCTTGATTTATGCTCTTGAAGTTTGGTTCAAGCAAATTATAGATTACACTTGAGCATTTGCATACTTGATTGAGCTTGTGTATTCCCTCAGGTCTAACCAATAATTGCACTTTGAGTTGATTTCATGTTCGAATCGGTGTTAGTCTGAAATGTCATCTCTAACTGTGACCAAGAATTGGAAAGGCACTCGTGCTCCAAATAGAACTATATGGGTTTGGATAACTCATAGATGGGAAGTTTGGATTAGACACCATAATGCCATTTTATGAAATACGACATGTCGCTTTATTTTTTACTTTTGTATGCATGATTTAATGGACTAGTTTCAAGTTTGTGCATAACCCTAATTGCCACAATAAGCATTTGATGACACTGGTTTAATTCTGATTAGACTACAACTTTCAGCTCTGTCATACACTTTATATGAAAGAGCCTCCCATATCAGGAGATGTTTTCTCTAGACACTTGATTTGTAGGAAAATTTACTAGCTCCCTAATTCTATTTTGTTAAAGGACCTAAGACACAAAATGAGGCACTATACCAAATATTTTTTTCACAAAAATGTTCTAGAGAAGCAAAATAAAAGGTGTTTGTAGAAAATTAGGACAAATACATATTTCTGGTTGACGGCATCTTATTTCAGTTTCTTTATGTTATACGTTTTCGAATGGTCCATGTTGTATGGAGTCAAGGGCTGGCCAGGTGTTTGCAGTGTGTGTCTAGGTTTCTGACCCATCCAATCTCTAAGTTATAATACATGGTGACACTCTGTCCAAGTGTGTGTCATAAAAAAAAACTAGACGCCCGATACACATGGTTACACATGTGAAGAGAGAATTAGGCAGCTAAATAAAACTAAAAAGAAAGTTGAGTGGTTATTTGGGCAAAAATGAAGGGCAGTATTGGTAGTTCATGAATGGAGAGGCTTAGTGACGTAGCAGAATATAGGAATACGAAGAACACTATAATTTTAAGTTTAAAAAACACACACACACACACACACTGAATCCACAGAGAAAGGAACAAGAGAATACCCCCAAAAAGGTATATTGTTCATTTAACTAAATAGNCTTCACATCTTGCGGACCAAACAAAACAAAATGCCCTTAAGATGTTAATTGTGCTACCGAAAGAAGATTTTTCTTCATACCTGGAACATGATAGACGTTTTGAAGTGGCACCTCATTATCATTGTATTGAGTAGAGACCATTTTACAGACGTGAGCTATCGGTAATTTTGAGTTGTTGGCTGTCACCACCACATGGCTTCCCTTGTATTCTGTCAAATTTTGCAGCTTCTCCTTATCACCAGTCATATGATTTGAGCAACCCGAATCAATGATCCAATCTTTCTCATAATCAATTTGATCATATATTGATGATGTCAGAGCTAACTCTTCTTCTTCTGTAGCAAAGAGTGCCTCAACATCCCATTCTTCTTCAATTTTAGAAGTAGCAGCATTACTCTCCACAGGCTTTTTCTTGAACCAACAATCCTTTGCCATATGACCCTTCTTTCCACAATTGTGACACTTCCCTTCAAACCTTTTACTGTTGCCATGATTCTTCGAAGCTCCCCTGAACGAAAGCTCCCCTTTCCTTGATGACTTTTTGCCCTGTCACCGTTTCTTTTAGATCCACCAACAGTGTGCTGCTTGGAGTTTCCTCCGTTTTTATTAGCGTAGAGTGCTTCCTCCTCACCCTTGAGCGAAATTCCTCCCATTTGTTTAGCCATGGTTTCTTGACCCGCAAGCAAATTCTCAAACTCAATAAGTGATGGTTGATTTGGCCATCCCTGTACTGCAGCAATGAAGCCTCTGAATTCAGGCCTCAAACCATGGATGATAATTCTTTTCATCCTGGTTTCCCCAATTGGAGCTATTGGATCCAATTCTGAAATCTCACGGCATATCGACTTCACCTTGTGAAAGTATTGTGCAATCATCATGTCACATTGCGCTATGGACAACAGCTCACTCTCTAGAAGTTGCAGCCGTGTGTCATTCTTCTATGAGAAAAGTGTGGCCAGCATATCCTAGGCTTCTTTTGGTGTGATAGCATTCCGGATGTGCTCCAACACATCTTCTTCGATTGTCATCTTCAAAACAANTCTATAATCTGCAGGTTCGGGATACCTAGGGCAATCGTCTCGGACAATGGGAAGTAGTTCGATAACCCCAAATTCAAAAAAAATATGTGCCGAGTTGGGTATAAGAAATTACTTCTCAACTTCAACTCATCCTCAGTCGAATGGAGATGCATAAGTAACTATTCGAACTCTAAAGGCCAAACTCAAAGCCTTAAAGGGATGATGGGTGGAACACGTCCCAAAGGTCCTATGGGCTTATAGAACTACTGCTAGGTCAGCAACTCAAGAATCTCCATTTGCTTTGACATTTTGAATCGAGGCGGTAGCCCCTGTGGAGATAGGCGCCCCATCCCTGAGTACAGAGCTCTCTAAACTTGAGCAAAATTATGAGTCACTTCTGCTTAATCTCGACCTCTTAGAAGAAAAGAGTGATAGAGCCTTGAAGCGCCCACCCTAAATAAAATTATTGACTCATGACATATGTTAATGTACCTATAATTTGTTGGCTCAAATGCAAAACAATGTTTGTATTTGTTGGCTCCAACACATCTTCTTCGATTGTCATCTTCAAAACAAACAATGCTTTGCCCGCTTTGATCTTCCACTTCCGCAAGGTACCATTTGCATCCTCTGCCTCTGGTTTCGTGACTTCGCTGCCGTTGACAACCTCCTAAAGATCTTGGCCTTGCATGTAAGATGACATACATGTCATCCATGTATTGTAGTTCTGGTTGTTGAGCTTTTTGATTCCTCCAACTACTTGAAGATCACTCATTTTGCAGACAGGAAAGAAAAAAAAATATCCAAGAAATATAATGCCCACGGTTGTATGGCTATAATACCAAACTGTTGAAATTGACAGAGAAGTAGAAGACAAAACAGATGAAAAAGAAGGAACAATTAATTATTGAAGGATAATTTATTCGGTGCAAATGAACTGCCTTACATAGGCATACAAAGAACATGAAAAGAGGCCACATTGCCTTATCTTCTTCTACAAAATCTACAACCACTACAGACTAGGTAGCAATCACTTAACTACTTGCAAAAGACTAGGAAATTAGCAATCACTTTTTAATTATTGATCACGCATTCCACCAACAAAAGATAAAGTCAAAACAAAAATGTTATTAAACACTCGNTGTCCTACAGTGTTTCCAAGGATTGTTGGCACTGTTGAAATTGTTGTTGTTGTTGTTAGTGTCGGTGTCGTTGAAAATCCATGAATTCGGCTTTTGAAGGAACCTTTTTCACATAATCACCGTTATGGGAAAAATTGTCATCACTTCGCTAATTAGCAATTATGCCAGATCAATTAAGGTTCTAATACCAATTGACGTAACAAAATAAAGTAACACGAAGAACACTACGATTCTAAGTGTAAAGAACACACACACTCTAAATCTACAGAGAAAGAAACAAGAGAATATCTCTAAAAATGTATATTATTCACTTAACTGAATAGAATTATAGTACATAGGACAATTTATAGGAAACTCAAAACCCTAAGGTTTCCAAAAAGGAAACAAATCTCTAGCCTTAGGGAAGTTACCAAAATAAATAAACACATGTCTAATGTNCATACTTCACCAAGCTTCCTCTGCCTACAGGAGTTACAGGCCCCGATTGTATTGCCTTTGACCCCCTGGGTGGAGGACCTTACGCCGGTGTCGGAGATGGCAGAATTCTCAAGTGGCAAGGTCCAGGTGTTGGATTTCAGGATTTCGCCTACACTTCACCAAATAGGTAACTCAAAACACACACACATGCACACAGAGGGAGAGGGAGAGGGAGAGGGAGAGAGAGAGAGAGNCTACAGAATATTCCCATCTAAACCTCTTCCCACCAGCATTGGACAATGCAAATTTGCCATCATTGAAGTGGATTGNTCAGGATTTCGCCTACACTTCACCAAATAGGTAACTCAAAACACACACACACGCACACAGAGGGAGAGGGAGAGGGAGAGGGAGAGAGAGAAGACTGTCTCTGTCCCTCCCGTTTCTGTTATGCATTTATTATCTCCATGTATGCTGAAATTTATTTTTCCGTTCTAACCATTTTTCAGAACTAAAGATGTTTGTGATGGCACGAATGACCCACATTTGGGACCCACATGTGGGAGACCTGACGATATGAGCTTCCACATTTTGACCGGCAATCTCTACATCGTNATAACCCCAAATTCAAAAAAAATATGTGCCGAGTTGGGTATAAGAAATTACTTCTCAACTTCAACTCATCCTCAGTCGAATGGAGATGCATNTTTCCGTTCTAACCATTTTTCAGAACTAAAGATGTTTGTGATGGCACGAATGACCCAAATTTGGGACCCACATGTGGGAGACCTGACGATATGAGCTTCCACATTTTGAGCGGCAATCTCTACATCGCNCAGTCGAATGGAGATGCATAAGTAACTATTCGAACTCTAAAGGCCAAACTCAAAGCCTTAAAGGGATGATGGGTGGAACACGTCCCAAAGGTCCTATGGGCTTATAGAACTACTGCTAGGTCAGCAACTCAAGAATCTCCATTTGCTTTGACATTTTGAATCGAGGCGGTAGCCCCTGTGGAGATAGGCGCCCCATCCCTGAGTACAGAGCTCTCTAAACTTGAGCAAAATTATGAGTCACTTCTGCTTAATCTCGACCTCTTAGAAGAAAAGAGTGATAGAGCCTTGAAGCGCCCACCCTAAATAAAATTATTGACTCATGACATATGTTAATGTACCTATAATTTGTTGGCTCAAATGCAAAACAATGTTTGTATTTGTTGGCTCCAACACATCTTCTTCGATTGTCATCTTCAAAACAGACAATGCTTTGCCCGCTTTGATCTTCCACTTCCGCAAGGTACCATTTGCATCCTCTGCCTCTGGTTTCGTGACTTCGCTGCCGTTGACAACCTCCTAAAGATCTTGGCCTTGCATGTAAGATGACATACATGTCATCCATGTATTGTAGTTCTGGTTGTTGAGCTTTTTGATTCCTCCAACTACTTGAAGATCACTCATTTTGCAGACAGGAAAGAAAAAAAAATATCCAAGAAATATAATGCCCACGGTTGTATGGCTATAATACCAAACTGTTGAAATTGACAGAGAAGTAGAAGACAAAACAGATGAAAAAGAAGGAACAATTAATTATTGAAGGATAATTTATTCGGTGCAAATGAACTGCCTTACATAGGCATACAAAGAACATGAAAAGAGGCCACATTGCCTTATCTTCTTCTACAAAATCTACAACCACTACAGACTAGGTAGCAATCACTTAACTACTTGCAAAAGACTAGGAAATTAGCAATCACTTTTTAATTATTGATCACGCATTCCACCAACAAAAGATAAAGTCAAAACAAAAATGTTATTAAACACTCGATCAATATTTGTAGTTGTAGATGGCTTGGGACAAACCCGACTGAAGATGCGTGCACTCTTATATATATTAAGTATTTAAGATTATTAACAATCAACGTGCAAAATAAAATAAAATCAACGTGAAAGGAGAGGAACAGGTTCTTTCTCTCTCTCTCTCAAACTAGTTGGTGTTACTTTGGAACAAAGGAAGGTAGTTGGGTGTGTAGACACATAAAATATAATTTAATCAAATTGTGCTCATGTGATGTGGAACCCTCTTCATTGACGCAAAATATGACCTATTCAATTAAGCGAAAATAAAATTCGAAAGCAAACCCATAAAATTCGATATGCTACCTTAACTGTGAGTTCCAAGGAGGACTGAGTACTGGTGGCTTGCCTATAAATACTAAGCTATTGATTGGCTTGCCATTCCAGGTACAGATAATGGGTCTCAACTCAAGTCTCAGAAAAATGGCCTTGCTGTCTATTTTCTTCCTTTTCTTCTTTCTCCCTTATGCAGTGATTTCTTCTGACCCATATCCATACTTCACCAAGCTTCCTCTGCCTACAGGAGTTACAGGCCCCGATTGTATTGCCTTTGACCCCCTGGGTGGAGGACCTTACGCCGGTGTCGGAGATGGCAGAATTCTCAAGTGGCAAGGTCCAGGTGTTGGATTTCAGGATTTCGCCTACACTTCACCAAATAGGTAACTCAAAACACACACACACGCACACAGAGGGAGAGGGAGAGGGAGAGGGAGAGAGAGAGAGAAGACTGTCTCTGTCACTCCCGTTTCTGTTATGCATTTATTATCTCCATGTATGCTGAAATTTATTTTTCCGTTCTAACCATTTTTCAGAACTAAAGATGTTTGTGATGGCACGAATGACCCACATTTGGGACCCACATGTGGGAGACCTGACGATATGAGCTTCCACATTTTGACCGGCAATCTCTACATCGTTGATGCCTTTCTTGGTCTATTTGTGGTGGGATTGGAAGGAGGGCTTGCAACCAAACTTGCCACTAGTGCAGATGGTGTGCCTTTCCGCTTTCTCACAGGTGTGGATATCGACCAATTGAAAGGAACTGTTTATTTCTCCGACCTTAGTGAAACTTACGACCTAAGGTACTTCTCCAATTTCACCAGTTTTAATCTATGCACATCATTTAACAAAGTTCAAAATTTGGTATGCTTCCCACCAAAACCATCGAAATAAAAAGAATTAGTGTGATTGGATATCTAAATGCCTACAACATATTTTAACTATTTTGAGATGTTTAAAATAATGTTTTGAAATTAAATTTGTAAAATTTTTATTTATATTATATTTCTTTTTATACTATTTATAATTGATCAAATAAAAGGGTAGTTAAAAACACTGAAATTTACATGTGCAGAAACGTCACACAGCCAAATTTCAAACCTGACTCAAGTAGTGGAAGATTGTTGAAGTATGACCCCATAGAAAAGGAGGTTATTGTTTTGATGCAGGGAATCAATGGTTCATCTGGGCTAGCACTCAGTGTGGACAACACATTCATCGCCTTTTCAGAGTTTTTCAATGATAGGATTCTAAAGTTCCATCTCATAGGTCTGGATGCGAATACAACCGAGGTTCTCTTAAACTTCAATGAAAACCCGACTAAAATCAAGAGGACAATATTGGGAGATTTCTGGGTGGCGGAAGACATTGGAGATGAAGAGAATGAACCAGTTACTAAACCACAAGGGATAAGGTTCAATGCGTTCGGTGGAGTGCTCGAAACAAAGGATTTTTCTGCCCAATATGACCATGCTAGTCTCCACACTATTATAGAGCATAATGGAGCATTATATACAGGGTCTCGGTCTGCCACAATTGATTTCATTGGTATATATACACAACAACCGACGAACTATCATGTGGCATCAAAATAAATAAAAGAATAACAATTGCTGTATCCTGATTACGTTAATTTGTATGTTTAATAAAACAGTCCCTTTGTATTATTATGTCTCTTTTTAATGAAATCATTTCATCTCTCCTACACAATCTCCTGCTCCATTTGTATTATGATGACTTTTAGACAATCCTTTCTTGGAGTAATCAGTAATGCTCCATTTGTTAGGGTACGATAGAAAAATGAAATGATAAAAAGTTAAAGGGATAAATAAAACATCATATTTGGTAAGAAAGGAAAATAGAAAGAATGAAAAAGTGGATATATTAATTTTCTTTCCAACTCACCAAAATCAATCTCTCCAAAATCGGAAAGAAAGTGGATAGAAAGTTAATTATTTGTGTTGAGATGTNTTAAATTTGTAAAATTTTTATTTATATTATATTTCTTTTTATACTATTTATAATTGAGCTGATTGATCAAATAAATGGGTAGTTAAAAACACTANCCACCAAAACCATCGAAATAAAAAGAATTAGTGTGATTGGATATCTAAATGCCTACAACATATTTTAACTATTTTGAGATGTTTAAAATAATGTTTTGAAATTAAATTTGTAAAATTTTTATTTATATTATATTTCTTTTTATACTATTTATAATTGATCAAATAAAAGGGTAGTTAAAAACACTGNCTTAAATTTAATAGGAAAAATAAGCCCCTAAAGGAGTGTTTGAAATTACTTTTTAAAAGTGCTTTTAGAAATTATTTCTCATAACGTGGTTGAGATCACTTTAAAGTTAATCTAATGGCTAATATTAACATCCTAAATTTAATAAGAAATATAAGTCCCTAATGGAGTGTTTGGAATAACTTTTTAAAAGTGCTTTTAGAAATTATTTCTCATAAATATTTTTTTAAAAAATAATGTTTGAAACCGCCCTACCACCACCACCACCACCACTACCGCTGTCGTCGCCGCTACCACGACCGCTGTCGTCGCCCCCACCCCCACCACCACCGTCACCACCACCACCACCATTGATGTNTAAAGTTCCATCTCATAGGTCTGGATGCGAATACAACCGAGGTTCTCTTAAACTTCAATGAAAACCCGACTAAAATCAAGAGGACAATATTGGGAGATTTCTGGGTGGCGGAAGACATTGGAGATGAAGAGAATGAACCAGTTACTAAACCACAAGGGATAAGGTTCAATGCGTTCGGTGGAGTGCTCGAAACAAAGGATTTTTCTGCCCAATATGACCATGCTAGTCTCCACACTATTATAGAGCATAATGGAGCATTATATACAGGGTCTCGGTCTGCCACAATTGATTTCATTGGTATATATACACAACAACCGACGAACTATCATGTGGCATCAAAATAAATAAAAGAATAACAATTGCTGTATCCTGATTACGTTAATTTGTATGTTTAATAAAACAGTCCCTTTGTATTATTATGTCTCTTTTTAATGAAATCATTTCATCTCTCCTACACAATCTCTTGCTCCATTTGTATTATGATGACTTTTAGACAATCCTTTCTTGGAGTAATCAGTAATGCTCCATTTGTTAGGGTATGATAGAAAAATTAAATGATAAAAAGTTGAAGGGATAAATAAAACATCATATTTGGTAAGAAAAGAAAATAGAAAGAATGAAAAAGTGGATATATTAATTTTCTTTCCAACTCACCAAAATCAATCTCTTCAAAATCGGAAAAAAAGTGGATGGAGAGTTAATTATTTGTGTTGAGATGTATCTTATTTTTTTTAAATATCTATATAATAAAGTAGCTTACAATTCAAATATCAAAAGATAAACAAAATGACTTTTACTATTCGCGATTAAGATCACTTTAAATTTTATTTTAAATTTAATCTAACGGCTAATATTAACATCTTAAATTTAATAGGAAAAATAAGCCCCTAAAGGAGTGTCTGAAATTACTTTTTAAAAGTGCTTTTAGAAATTATTTCTCATAACGTGGTTGAGATCACTTTAAATTTTACTTTAAAGTTAATCTAATGGCTAATATTAACATCCTAAATTTAATAAGAAAAATAAGTCCCTAAAGGAGTGTTTGGAATAACTTTTTAAAAGTGTTTTTAGAAATTATTTCTCATAAATATTTTTTTTAAAAATAATGTTTGAAACCGCCCTACCACTACCTCTATCACCACCACCACCACCACCACCACTGCCGCCACTACCGATGTCGTCGCCACTACCACGACCACTGTCGTCGCCCCCACCCCCACCACCACCGTCACCACCACCACCACCATTGATGTCGCCACCACCATCGTCGTTGTTCTTGCCATCACCACGGTCATTGCCACTTATCACAACCATCATCGTCTCTTACCACCACCACTGTGGCCCACAACCTCTCACCCCCACTATAAACTCATGCTTAAATTTCTTTATCTTTTTTCTATGTTTGTGATTTGATTTTGGATATNTTATCACAACCATCATCGTCTCTTACCACCACCACTGTCGCCCACCACCTCTCACCCCCACTATAAACTCATGCTTAAATTTCTTTATCTTTTTTCTATGTTTGTGATTTGATTTTGGATATGAATACAAATATGTTTATTATTTATTATTTTTTATTACTGTGTGCCTCTAGNAAGGGATAAATAAAACATCATATTTGGTAAGAAAGGAAAATAGAAAGAATGAAAAAGTGGATATATTAATTTTCTTTCCAACTCACCAAAATCAATCTCACCAAAATCGGAAAGAAAGTGGATAGAAAGTTAATTATTTGTGTTGAGATGCATCTTATTTTTTTTAAATATCTATATAATAAAGTAGCTTACAATTCAAATATCAAAAGATAAACAAAATGACTTTTACTATTCGCGATTAAGATCACTTTAAATTTTATTTTAAATTTAATCTAACGGCTAATATTATCATCTTAAATTTAATAGGAAAAATAAGCCCTTAAAGGAGTGTTTGATATTTCTTTTTAAAAGTGCTTTTAGAAATTATTTCTCATAACGTGGTTGAGATCACTTTAAATTTTACTTTAAAGTTAATCTAATAGCTAATATTAACATCCTAAATTTAATAAGAAAAATAAGTCCCTAAGGGAGTGTTTGGAATAACTTTTTAAAAGTGCTTTTAGAAATTATTTCTCATAAATATTTTTTTTAAAAATAATGTTTGAAACCGCCCTACCACTACCTCTATCACCACCACCACTACCACCACCACTGCCGCCACTACCGCTGTCGTCGCCCCCACCGTCACCACCACCACCACCACCATTGATGCCGCCACCACCATCGTCGTTGTTCTTGCCATCACCACGGTCATTGCCACTATCACAACCATCATCGTCTCTTACCACCACCACTGTCGCCCACCACCTCTCACCCCCACTATAAACTCATGCTTAAATTTCTTTATCTTTTTTCTATGTTTGTGATTTGATTTTGGATATGAATACAAATATGTTTATTATTTTTTATTTTTTATTACTGTATGCCTCCAGGTACAAGCAATAACTATTTATATAATAAAGTAGTTTATAATTTAAATCTCAAAAGATAAAAAAAATGACTATTGATATTCACGATTGAGATCGCTTTAAATTTTACTTTAAAGTTAATCTAACGATTAATATTAACATCCTAAATTTAATAGAAAAAATAGAATCTTAAATGTGTGTTTGGAGTGACCTTTTAAAAATACTTCTAGAAATTATTTCTCATAAATATTTTTTTTTANGGAAAAATAAGCCCTTAAAGGAGTGTTTGATATTTCTTTTTAAAAGTGCTTTTAGAAATTATTTCTCATAACGTGGTTGAGATCACTTTAAATTTTACTTTAAAGTTAATCTAATAGCTAATATTAACATCCTAAATTTAATAAGAAAAATAAGTCCCTAAGGGAGTGTTTGGAATAACTTTTTAAAAGTGCTTTTAGAAATTATTTCTCATAAATATTTTTTTTAAAAATAATGTTTGAAACCGCCCTACCACTACCTCTATCACCACCACCACTACCACCACCACTGCCGCCACTACCGCTGTCGTCGCCCCCACCGTCACCACCACCACCACCACCATTGATGCCGCCACCACCATCGTCGTTGTTCTTGCCATCACCACGGTCATTGCCACTATCACAACCATCATCGTCTCTTACCACCACCACTGTCGCCCACCACCTCTCACCCCCACTATAAACTCATGCTTAAATTTCTTTATCTTTTTTCTATGTTTGTGATTTGATTTTGGATATGAATACAAATATGTTTATTATTTTTTATTTTTTATTACTGTATGCCTCCAGGTACAAGCAATAACTATTTATATAATAAAGTAGTTTATAATTTAAATCTCAAAAGATAAAAAAAATGACTATTGATATTCACGATTGAGATCGCTTTAAATTTTACTTTAAAGTTAATCTAACGATTAATATTAACATCCTAAATTTAATAGAAAAAATAGAATCTTAAAGGTGTGTTTGGAGTGACATTTTAAAAGTACTTCTAGAAATTATTTCTCATAAATATATTTTTTTTAAAAATAGTGTTTAAAATTGTCTCACCACTACTTATAACACATCGTCGCCACCACCAGCATTTCCATCGCCACCATGGCCACCCCCACTGTCGCCACTAACCCCACCACCACCGCCACCACCTCTGTCATCGCCGCCACCCCCACCACCACCATTGCCACCTACCACAACCATCACCATCTCTTACCACCACCACCACTGTCGCCCACCACCTCTCACCCTCACTACAAACTGATACTTAAATTATTTTATCTATTCTTTATATTTGTGATTTGATTTTGGATATATGAATACAAATATATTTTTTATTTTTTATTTTTTATTACTTTGTACCTTTAGGCACAGACAATAACTCGTATACACATATTATGTATACATTAATTTCATATAAAAATATAATGATAAAATACGTATTTATATATATTTTTTAAAAAATTAAAAATACAAAAAATACAAAGTAAAAAAATAAAAAAAATATTTTTTTCATCTTAACTAAAAGTGAAAATTTTTGACTCAACATGATGATACGACTCGAGCTCGACACGAATTTTATGAGACAAACTTGATTAACTCGAAAATAAACCACGTTAACTCGTAACTCCACAAGACACAATTTGTTATATGAGTTGAATTAGATTCGACACAAACCCGTAATGACTCAACACGAATCTGACACGACACGACTCGATTGTCACCCCTAATCTTAGCCAGCACCAAAAAAAAAAAATTAGTCTTTTTTATTTTTCATTCATCCAACCAACACAAAGGAAGAAAATTGTATCATTTTTACTTTCCTTCTTTGAATAATAGAAAATGTATCTCTTCTACTTTCCACCTTTTTTATTTTCTATCTTCCTACCAAACGGAGCATGAAGGACAAATTAGTTTTTGTCTTGCCTCTTTTACATAATTTACAACCCTCTAACATGGGTCAAGTTTTAATTTGGACTTAGAAGTTCCAATTAGGATAGTCATACTTTAAAGATTTAATTGAATTCCACTTAAGTCCTTCCATAAAAATTTGTTAACTTAATGTGCTAGGATGGAGTCGCCTAACCAGTACTACTTATTTAGTAGGGTATCTTTGTCCTATCAAAAAATACAATCTCGTCCCATGATTATTGACCCGTATCTTTTTGTGTCTACTAATTAGATTTAAACAACAAAACATGACAAAAAAGTGGAATGCAAGCTACCAAGACAACGGATAACGATTAATAANAAATAGTAGACATCTAGGGCTACAAAAGTGTATTTCATGAAAAATTTCCAATTCGACCTCTAAATGGGTCAAAACTGACCTGGAAGTCGCACCAAAAATCTGTGAACAGTACGAAGGAAACCCGATTTTTTCTGAACAGAAAATATCGGGTTTTGCTCGATTTTCTTGCCCTATAAAAACCTAATGTCGTCCCTTTAGCATTCATTTCACCCCTCCAAACCCTAGGAACCATTTTACCAAGAAGGGGGATAAATTTGTGTGGACTCAAGCGTGTGAATTAGCTTTTCCNTGAAGTATGACCCCATAGAAAAGGAGGTTATTGTTTTGATGCAGGGAATCAATGGTTCATCTGGGCTAGCACTCAGTGTGGACAACACATTCATCGCCTTTTCAGAGTTTTTCAATGATAGGATTCTAAAGTTCCATCTCATAGGTCTGGATGCGAATACAACCGAGGTTCTCTTAAACTTCACTGAAAACCCGACTAAAATCAAGAGGACAATATTGGGAGATTTCTGGGTGGCGGAAGACATTGGAGATGAAGAGAATGAACCAGTTACTAAACCACAAGGGATAAGGTTCAATGCGTTCGGTGGAGTGCTCGAAACAAAGGATTTTTCTGCCCAATATGACCATGCTAGTCTCCACACTATTATAGAGCATAATGGAGCATTATATACAGGGTCTCGGTCTACCACAATTGATTTCATTGGTATATATACACAACAACCGACGAACTATCATGTGGCATCAAAATAAATAAAAGAATAACAATTGCTGTATCCTGATTACGTTAATTTGTATGTTTAATAAAACAGTCCCTTTGTATTATTATGTCTCTTTTTAATGAAATCATTTCATCTCTCCTACACAAACTCCTGCTCCATTTGTATTATGATGACTTTTAGACAATCCTTTCTTGGAGTAATCAGTAATGCTCCATTTGTTAGGGTATGATAGAAAAATTAAATGATAAAAAGTTGAAGGGATAAATAAAACATCATATTTGGTAAGAAAAGAAAATAGAAAGAATGAAAAAGTGGATATATTAATTTTCTTTCCAACTCACCAAAATCAATCTCTTCAAAATCGGAAAAAAAGTGGATGGAAAGTTAATTATTTGTGTTGAGATGCATCTTATTTTTTTTAAATATCTATATAATAAAGTAGCTTACAATTCAAATATCAAAAGATAAACAAAATGACTTTTACTATTCGCGATTAAGATCACTTTAAATTTTATTTTAAATTTAATCTAACGGCTAATATTAACATCTTAAATTTAATAGGAAAAATAAGCCCTTAAAGGAGTGTTTGAAATTACTTTTTAAAAGTGCTTTTAGAAATTATTTCTCATAACGTGGTTGAGATCACTTTAAATTTTACTTTAAAGTTAATCTAATGGCTAATATTAACATCCTAAATTTAATAAGAAAAATAAGTCCCTAAAGGAGTGTTTGGAATAACTTTTTAAAAGTGTTTTTAGAAATTATTTCTCATAAATATTTTTTTTAAAAATAATGTTTGAAACCGCCCTACCACTACCTCTATCACCACCACCACCACCACCACCACTGCCGCCACTACCGATGTCGTCGCCACTACCACGACCACTGTCGTCGCCCCCACCCCCACCACCACCGTCACCACCACCACCACCATTGATGCCGCCACCACCATCGTCGTTGTTCTTGCCATCACCACGGTCATTGCCACTTATCACAACCATCATCGTCTCTTACCACCACCACTGTCGCCCATCACCTCTCACCCCCACTATAAACTCATGCTTAAATTTCTTTATCTTGTTTCTATGTTTGTGATTTGATTTTGGATATGAATACAAATATATTTATTATTTATTATTTTTTATTACTGTGTGCCTCCAANCTTTGTATTATTATGTCTCTTTTTAATGAAATCATTTCATCTCTCCTACACAATCTCTTGCTCCATTTGTATTATGATGACTTTTAGACAATCCTTTCTTGGAGTAATCAGTAATGCTCCATTTGTTAGGGTATGATAGAAAAATTAAATGATAAAAAGTTGAAGGGATAAATAAAACATCATATTTGGTAAGAAAAGAAAATAGAAAGAATGAAAAAGTGGATATATTAATTTTCTTTCCAACTCACCAAAATCAATCTCTTCAAAATCGGAAAAAAAGTGGATGGAGAGTTAATTATTTGTGTTGAGATGTATCTTATTTTTTTTAANCATAAATATTTTTTTTTTAAAAATAGTGTTTAAAATTGTCTCACCACTACTTATAACACATCGTCGCCACCACCAGCATTTCCATCGCCACCACGGCCACCACCACCACCACCACCCCCACTGTTGCCACTAACCCCACCACCACTGCCACCACCTCTGTCATCGCCGCCACCCCCACCACCACCATTGANTTTAATCTAACGGCTAATATTAACATCTTAAATTTAATAGGAAAAATAAGCCCCTAAAGGAGTGTCTGAAATTACTTTTTAAAAGTGCTTTTAGAAATTATTTCTCATAACGTGGTTGAGATCACTTTAAATTTTACTTTAAAGTTAATCTAATGGCTAATATTAACATCCTAAATTTAATAAGAAAAATAAGTCCCTAAAGGAGTGTTTGGAATAACTTTTTAAAAGTGTTTTTAGAAATTATTTCTCATAAATATTTTTTTTAAAAATAATGTTTGAAACCGCCCTACCACTACCTCTATCACCACCACCACCACCACCACCACTGCCGCCACTACCGATGTCGTCGCCACTACCACGACCACTGTCGTCGCCCCCACCCCCACCACCACCGTCACCACCACCACCACCATTGATGCCGCCACCACCATCGTCGTTGTTCTTGCCATCACCACGGTCATTGCCACTTATCACAACCATCATCGTCTCTTACCACCACCACTGTCGCCCACCACCTCTCACCCCCACTATAAACTCATGCTTAAATTTCTTTATCTTGTTTCTATGTTTGTGATTTGATTTTGGATATGAATACAAATATATTTATTATTTATTATTTTTTATTACTGTGTGCCTCCAAGTACAAGCAATAACTATTTATATAATAAAGTAGCTTATAATTTAAATCTCAAAAGATAAAAAAAATTACTATTGCTATTCACGATTGAGATCGCTTTAAATTTTACTTTAAAGTTAATCTAACGATTAATATTAACATCCTAAATTTAATAGAAAAAATAGAATCTTAAAGGTGTGTTTGGAGTGACCTTTTAAAAGTACTTCTAGAAATTATTTCTCATAAATATTTTTTTTTTAAAAATAGTGTTTAAAATTGTCTCACCACTACTTATAACACATCGTCGCCACCACCAGCATTTCCATCGCCACCACGGCCACCACCACCACCACCACCCCCACTGTCGCCACTAACCCCACCACCACTGCCACCACCTCTGTCATCGCCGCCACCCCCACCACCACCATTGACACCTACCACAACCATCACCATCTCTTACCACCACCACCACTGTCGCCCACCACCTCTCACCCTCACTACAAACTGATACTTAAATTATTTTACCTATTCTTTATATTTGTGATTTGATTTTGAATATATGAATACAAATATATTTTTTATTTTTTATTTTTTATTNAATAACTTTTTAAAAGTGTTTTTAGAAATTATTTCTCATAAATATTTTTTTTAAAAATAATGTTTGAAACCGCCCTACCACTACCTCTATCACCACCACCACCACCACCACCACTGCCGCCACTACCGATGTCGTCGCCACTACCACGACCACTGTCGTCGCCCCCACCCCCACCACCACCGTCACCACCACCACCACCATTGATGCCGCCACCACCATCGTCGTTGTTCTTGCCATCACCACGGTCATTGCCACTTATCACAACCATCATCGTCTCTTACCACCACCACTGTCGCCCACCACCTCTCACCCCCACTATAAACTCATGCTTAAATTTCTTTATCTTGTTTCTATGTTTGTGATTTGATTTTGGATATGAATACAAATATATTTATTATTTATTATTTTTTATTACTGTGTGCCTCCAAGTACAAGCAATAACTATTTATATAATAAAGTAGCTTATAATTTAAATCTCAAAAGATAAAAAAAATTACTATTGCTATTCACGATTGAGATCGCTTTAAATTTTACTTTAAAGTTAATCTAACGATTAATATTAACATCCTAAATTTAATAGAAAAAATAGAATCTTAAAGGTGTGTTTGGAGTGACCTTTTAAAAGTACTTCTAGAAATTATTTCTCATAAATATTTTTTTTTTAAAAATAGTGTTTAAAATTGTCTCACCACTACTTATAACACATCGTCGCCACCACCAGCATTTCCATCGCCACCACGGCCACCACCACCACCACCACCCCCACTGTTGCCACTAACCCCACCACCACTGCCACCACCTCTGTCATCGCCGCCACCCCCACCACCACCATTGACACCTACCACAACCATCACCATCTCTTACCACCACCACCACTGTCGCCCACCACCTCTCACCCTCACTACAAACTGATACTTAAATTATTTTACCTATTCTTTATATTTGTGATTTGATTTTGAATATATGAATACAAATATATTTTTTATTTTTTATTTTTTATTACTTTGTACCTTTAGGCACAGACAATAACTAGTATACACATATTATGTATACATTAATTTCATATAAAAATATAATGATAAAATATGTATTTATATATATTTTTTAAAAAATTAAAAATACAAAAAATACAAAGTAAAAAAATAAAAAAAATATTTTTTTCATCTTAACTAAAAGTGAAAATTTTTGACTCAACATGATGATACGACTCGAGCTCGACACGAATTTTATGATACAAACTTGATTAACTCGAACACGAACATGACACGAAAATAAACCACGTTAACTCGTAACTCCACAAGACACAATTTGTTATATGAGTTGAATTAGATTCGACACAAACCCGTAATGACTCAACACGAATCTGACACGACACGACTCGATTGTCACCCCTAATCTTAGCCAGCACCAAAAAAAAAAAATTAGTCTTTTTTATTTTTCATTCATCCAACCAACACAAAGGAAGAAAATTGTATCATTTTTACTTTCCTTCTTTGAATAATAGAAAATGTATCTCTTCTACTTTCCACCCTTCTTATTTTCTATCTTCCTACCAAACGGAGCATGAAGGACAAATCAGTTTTTGTCTTGCCTCTTTTACATAATTTACAACCCTCTAACATGGGTCAAGTTTTAATTTGGACTTAGAAGTTCCAATTAGGATAGTCATACTTTAAAGATTTAATTGAATTCCACTTAAGTCCTTCCATAAAAATTTGTTAACTTAATGTGCTAGAGTCGCCTAACCAGTACTACTTATTTAGTAGGGTATCTTTGTCCCATCAAAAAATACAATCTCGTCCCATGATTATTGACCCGTATCTTTTTGTGTCTACTAATTAGATTTAAACAACAAAACATGACAAAAAAGTGGAATGCAAGCTACCAAGACAACGGATAACGATTAATAACTAGTCAATTATTCCATTTTTTTTTCAACATAAAAAAACATTTCTAAAAATGTCATGTGTTGGTCACTTGGTTCCATTTTGCCAAAATCAACGTAAGATATTTAGATGGGAAGATTGAATTGAAACTCAATTAAAAGTTATTTATAGCGTTGATTGTTCTAATTAGAAAATTTTGCCTCATGCTTGAAGATTATAAATTATAAATTGACCTTATTTTTCTCAGA